GCTCCTTCCCTTCTAGATCCCCTTTCATACTTCACTCAGTCACGTCCTCCTGTCTGGGACCACCGGCCAATTCAGAAGACCCTATTATGAGATGCATCATTGCTTCCAGGAATAGTGCCCCAGGTAACTTCCCTTACCTAATGTGTTTGTGTTCCCATATCCCGCTATTGAAGCACATCACCTGTGTTGACACATTTAGTGTTAATTCATTTACTTTCCTGTTACTACACCCAATAAATTTTAATCCAAGAAATCCAGAGGCCCAAGGTAATCCTATGAGGAAAAGGCTTCAACTTCTATGGCTTTTGACGGGAATTTAAATTCTATTTAAATGTCCAGAAGATAAAACTAGACCTATGGTTGCCATTATTGAAGTTATCACTTACTGCTGTAAATCCCATCTGGGTCACTAAATTCCTTCAGGGAAGGAAATCTGCCAAGCTTACCCAGTCTGGACCTACTTTTGACTCCCTGCCATCCTGTAGTTTGCAAGGGTATTTGAGGGTGATAGAATAAATGCTAGTTTACCAATAAATCCCATACCCCATGAATGAATAAAGAAAAACACAACTGACACTGCAGTTCAGCAATGGGCGAGTACTGCACTGTTGGAGGTACTGTTCATCAGATGGATTTTTTAAAAAAAACTGAAACCTAGTTTCAGGTCCCTTTTTATTTTGAAGAAGGATTCTCCTTGACCTGCTGGCCAATATTTCTCTCTCGATCAACAGCACGTCAAACAGATCACTCGGATTTATTGAGATAACAAGGTGTAGAGTTGGATGAACACAGCAGGCTAAGCAGCATCAGAGGAGCAGGAAGGCTGACGTTTCGGGCCTAGACCCTTCTTCAGAAATGGGGGAGGGGAAGGGGGATCTGAAATAAATAGGGAGAGAGGGGGAGGCGGATAGAAGATGGATAGAGGAGAAGATAGGTGGAGAGGAGACAGACCATTCAAAGAGGCGGGGATGGAGCCAGTAAAGGTGAGGGTAGGTGGGGAGGTAGGGAGGAGATAGGTCAGTCCAGGGATGACGGACAGGTCAAGGGGGCGGGATGAGGTTAGTAGGTAGGAGATGGGGGTGGGGCTTGAGGTGGGAGGAGGGGATAGGTGGGAGGAAGGACAGGTTAGGGAGGTGGGGACAAGCTGGGCTGGTTTTGGGATGCCGTAGGGGGAGGGGAGATTCTGAAGCTTGTGAAGTCCACATTGATACCATTGGGCTGCAAGGTTCCCAAGCGGAATATGAGTTGCTGTTCCTCCAACCTTCGGGTAGCATCGTTGTGGCACTGCAGGAGGCCCAGGATGGACACGTCATCTGCGGAATGGGAGGGGGTGTTGAAATGGTTCGCAACTGGGAGGTGCAGTTGTTTTGTGCGAACCGAGCGTAGGTGTTCTGCAAAGTGGTCCCCAAGCTTCCGCTTGGTTTCCCTGATGGAGAGGAGGTCACAACGGGAACAGCGGATGCAGTATACCACATTAGCAGATGTGCAGGTGAACATCTGCTTGATGTGGAAAGTCTTCTTGGGGCCTGGGATGGGGGTGAGGGGGGAGGTGTAGGGGCAGGTGTAGCACTTCCTGCGGTTGCAGGGAAAAGTGCCGGGTGAGGTGGGGCTGGAGGGGAGTGTGGAGCGGACAAGGGAGTCACGGAGAGAGTGGTCCCTCCGGAAAGCAGATAAGGGTGGGGTGGGAAAAGTGTCCTTGGTGGTGGGGTCGGATTGCAGATGGCGGAAGTGTCGGAGGATGATGCGTTGGATCCGGAGGTTGGTGGGGTGGTACGTGAGGACGAGGGGGATTCTGTTTGGGTTGCTATTGCAGGGAGGGGGTGTGAGGGATGAGTTGCGGGAAATGCAGGAGACATGGTCGAGGGCGTTCTCGACCACTGAGGGGGGGGAAGTTGCGGTCCTTGAAAAACGAGGACATCTGAGATGTACGGGAGTGGAATGCCTCATCCTGGGAGCAGGTGCGGCGGAGGCGAAGGAATTGGGAATAGGGGATGGCATTTTTGCAGGAAGGTGGGTGGGAGGAGGTGTATTCTAGGTAGTTGTGGGAGTTGGTGGGCTTGAAATGGATATTGGTTTCTAGGTGGTTGCCGGAGATGGAGACAGAGAGGTCCAGGAAGGAGACAGAGGTATTAGAGATGGTCCAGGTGAACTTAAGGTTGGGGTGGAAGATGTTGGTGAAGTGGATGAACTGTTCGAGCTCCTCGTGGGTGCACGAGGCGGCGCCGATACAGTCATCAATGTAACGGAGGAAGAGGTGGGGTTTAGGGCCAGTGTAGGTACGGAAGAGGGATTGTCCCACGTAACCTACAAAGAGGCAGGCATAGCTTGGGCCCATGCGGGTACCCATTGCCACCCCTTTTGTCTGTAGGAAGTGGGAGGAATTGAAAGAGAAGTTGTTGAGGGTGAGGACGAGTTCGGCTAAGCAGATGAGGGTGTCAGTGGAGGGGGACTGGTCGGGCCTGCGGGACAGGAAGAAGTGGAGGGCCTTTCGGCCATCTGTATGGGGAATGCAGGTGTATTGGGACTGAACATCCATGGTAAAGGTGAGGTGTTGGGGACCGGGGAATTGGAAGTTCTGGGTGAGGTGGACGGCGTGGGTGGTGTCACGGATGTAGGTAGGGAGTTCCTGGACCAAGGGGGAGAAAATGGAATCCAGATCGGTGGAGATAAGTTCGGTGGGGCAGGATCAGGCGGAGACAATGCGTCGACCAGGGCAGTCAGGTTTGTGGATTTTGGGAAGGCGATAGAAGCGGGCGGTGCGGGGTTGGGGAACGATGAGGTTGGAGGCTGTGGGTGGGAGGTCACCTGAAGTGATGAGGTTGTGGATGGTTTGGGGCGGTAGGAGGAGGTGTCGGAGAGCTGGCGTCTGGCCTCGGCGATGTAGAGGTCAGTGCGCCATACTACAACTGTGCCTCCCTTATCTGTGGGTTTTATGGTGAGGTTGGGATTGGAGCAGAGGGAGCGGAGGGCTGCACGTTCTGCAGGGGAGAGGTTGGAGTGGGTGAGAGGGGTGGAGAGGTTGAGGCGATTGATGTCACGACGGCAGATGGAGATGAAGAGGTCAAGGGAGGGTAGGAGGCCTTGGGGTGGTGTCCAGGAGGAGGGGGTGTGTTGGAGGTGGGAGAAGGAGTGAGTAGAGGGAGGGTTGGGCTCGCGGTTGAAAAAGTAAGTGCGGACGAGGAGGCGGCGGAAAAACTGCTCTATGTCCGAGCGTGAGCGGTATTCGTTGATGTGTGGGTGGAGGGGGACAAAGGTGAGCCCTTTACTGAGGACTGACCGTTCGTCCTCAGTAAGGGGGAGGTCTGGGGGGATAGTGAAGACTCGGCAGGGCTGGGTGCTATTGTCTCCTCTGGAGCTGCTGGCTGTGGAGGTGGTGGGTGGAGCGACGTCGGCGTCGGCTGTGGGCAGAGTTGCGTCGGCTGTGGGTGGAGTTGCATCGGTGCTGGTGGGCGGAGTTGCATCGGCATTGGCGGTGGGCGGAGTTGCATCGGCGGTGGTGAGCGAAGTTACGTCAGTATTGGCGGTGGGCGGAGTTGAATCGGCGTCGGCGGTGTGCGGAGCGGGATAGGTTTGCAGAACACCTACACTCAGTTCGCACTAAACAACTGCACCTCCCAGTTGCGATCCCCACACTTATCTGCTTTGCGGAGGGACCACTCTCTCCGTGACTCCCTTGTCAGCTCCACACTCCCCACCAGCCCCACCTCACCCAGCACTTTTCCCTGCAACCGCAGGAAGTGCTACACCTGCCCCTACACCTCCCGCCTCACCCCCATCCCAGGCCCCAAGAAGACTTTCCACATCAAGCAGATGTTCACCTGCACATCTGCTAATGTGGTATACTGCATCTGCTGTTCCCCGGGGAAACCAAACGGAGGCTTGGGGGCCGCTTTGCAGAACACCTACGCTCGGTTCGCACTAAACAACTGCACCTCCCAGTCGCGAACCATTTCAACTCCCCCTCCCATTCTGCAGACGACATGTCCATCCTGGGCCTCCTGCAGTGCCACAACGATGCTACCTGAAGGTTGCAGGAACAGCAACTCATATTCCGCTTGGGAACCCTGCAGCCCAATGGTATCAATGTGGACTTCACAAGCTTCAGAATCTCCCCCTACTGCATCCCAAAACCAGTCCAGCTCGTTCCCGCCTCCCTAACCTGTCCTTCCTCCCACCTATCCCCTCCTCCCACCTCAAGCCCCCCCCCCCCCCCCTACCCACTCACCTCACCCCGCCCCCTTGACCTGTCCGTCCTCCCTGGACTGACCTATCTCCTCCCTAACTCCCCAACTACACTCACCTTTACTGGCTCCATCCCCGCCTCTTCGACCAGTTTGTTTCCTCTCCACCTATCTTCTTCTCTATCCGCCTCCCCCTCTCCCCCTATTTATTTCAGATCCCCCTTCCCCTCCCCCATCTCTGAAGAAGAGTCTCGGCCCGAAACGTCACCTTTCCTGCTTGGCCTGCTGTGTTCACCCAGCTCTACACCTTGTTATCTCAGATTCTCCAGCATCTGCAGTTCCTACTAACTCGGATTTATTGCATTGCAACATATCAGGCCTTGCCACGTGTATACTGGCTGTTGTTGCAATTCCATATTACAGCAGTAGGTACATTTTTCAAAGTAAATAATTGCCTATAATTTGCTTGAAGACGTCCCGAAGTTGTGGAAGAGGCGAAATGCAAGCTCTTCCTTTTAAAAATCACATCTTCAACAAAGCTGTTTCTCACCTGTTCTGAAATCTCCTACCGCGGCAGTGTCAACTTTTACTAATGTTCTCGTGAAGTGCCTTGGGATACATTACAATTTTAAAAAAAAGGGCTTCAGAAACGTCATTTGAAAGTCTGTTTAATTGCAAGCCCTGTTTTTCATCATCTTTCAAAATCCCTGCTGCTTTCCCTCGGCAAAAGACGATAACAACGATATACCACCGCCCCTGCGGGCAGGATATCTCAACGGAATCTGCAGGGGGACTACAACGTCCAAGATGCCACATGGCCCGCTTCCGGGTATTCCCGACGGACCAATTGGATGCGCCGCTGAGCCGGAAGTGGTGTGGAAGAGGGTGACGGTTTAACGGCAAGGTGTTCGGATCGCCCTTTGTATGTTGGGAGGGAGGCGCGTGAGGGGTGAAAGCAATCGAGGGCGATGTGGGCGGCCGAAGGGCCAGGGCACGCGGACGGTCGGCAGCCTCGGTGGTGAAAGTAGGACGGAGTGGGAGGAAAGCGGAGAAGAGGAGGAGGGGGTCAGGCCGGGCTGGGCCTGTGCGCTGTCCTCAGTCCTCTTCCCCCGCTGACTAGCTGCGGCTCTCGATGATGGAACGGGCGATGGAGCAGCTGAACCGACTGACCCGCTCCCTGAGGCGGGCGCGGACTGTGGAACTACCCGAAGGTGAGTCCGGGCTTTTATTTGGAGGCTGGGTCAGTCTAATCTGATGTTGTATAATCTCATCTCACTTCGATTCGAATTGGAAAGTTTATCAGAGGCCACCTTTGTTAATTTCTTCAAAAGATCTCGTCAAGCAGCTTACTCTATCTGATCCATTTCCTTGTATTTTTGTGTAAATAAATTTAGCTGTGCTGTATGATGCCAGATGAGAGGGGGTTAGCCCTTTGTGGCTTGTCAAATCAAATCAAATCATGCTATCATATCCTTCTAACTTTCAATCAGGATCTTGCAGTAAGGAATAAATTTCTGACTGTAAATTCAATAATTTGCAGTTTCACGCGCCAAGGTCATATTTCCAATATCCAATATATTGCAGTTAGTGGAAGTATCAAACCATTTGAGCTTGTGTTAGCCATGTTTAAGGCTGCTGTACACTTACTTTGCTGTCCTGTCCACCAAAGTGTTGAATTTTTTTTTGTCCCATGTTGAATTTTATTGATTAGCACTCATCTGTTTGGCTTCCCTTTTGTACTACATACAGGTACTTAATATTGGCTTTCAGTTTTTCATTTTAATTTAGCAATTTGACCTCATCAGCTGTTAATTGTTTTAATCCTACTGTAATTGAAAATGTATGACTTTTTTAACCTGTACTTTCACTTCCTTACTAAAATTTTTTCTGATTCTGTGCGCTTGGTTGTAGCTAAGTGTAATCTCATTATCTCCTTTGATTCTGCTTGTTAAATAATTTCATTGACCACCATCTTCGTTACGTGTTGTTCTGCATTTAAGCCATCCTTACATGTGATATTGTACCAGATGTCTTGCAGCCCTAATAAGGTTCCTTCAACCACAGTCTCTAACATCTTAAAAAAAAATAGTAGTTTTGTTGAGCACGGCCTGCTTGATGGTCTTCATGGTTTTAGTTGCTTTGGAAAGTCTGTCTGTGAGATCACTGGTAAAGTTTTTTCCATGACAAATATTGCGATCATGAGCTTTTTCTTCTAAATCTGTTTATTGCTTTGTTATTGGTAGGTGGTATGTTCTTTCTCTTTGGTCCTTTTGCAATTACTAATTGTAATACCGCCATAAAGATTCCTGCAGAAAGCTGACTAATATTATAGAGTCATACAGCATGGAAACAGACCCTTCAGACCAATCAGTCCATGCTGACCATAATCCTAAACCAGTTCCACCTGCCTGTCCTTGGCCCATACCCCTCTAAACATTTACTCATGTAGTCTTTTAAACTGTACCTGCAGTTCATTCCACACACACAAACCACTCTGTGTCATAAAAAAATGACCCCTCATGTCTCTTTTAAATCTTTCTGACACCTTGAAAATATGTCCCCTACTCTTGAAATCCCCACTCTAGGGGAGACCTGGATAGGGAGACCAGAACTGGACACAGTACTCCAGAAGAGGCCTCACCAACATCCTGTACAACCTTAACATAACGTCCCAAATTCTATCCTTGACGGTCTGAGCAATGATAGCAACTGTGCTAAATGCCTTCTTAACCACACTATATGTGATGTCAACAATATTGTTAACAATTTATGTTCAGACTGTCTTCCCTTTGTCCAGTATCTTCAGTGATGTAATCAATGGGAAGCTATTAATTAGCCTATGGTGTAATGTTTACAATGAACAGAGGCTGCCTCTGACTGCAAAGAGATATCTATGTGAGAAGAACTGGCTTTTGTAGTTTGAAATATTTTTCTATCAGTTTTGAGCATAATCTATTCATAATCTATGAATATTGTATTGACATTCCTTGCTCCTCTTCGATAACTTCCCTTCCACTGTATTCTCGATAAGCAACACCATGGGAGATGTTTGTTATATCTCAAACCTATATGATTTTTCTGTACTGATTTGACTTTGGTGTTTCATAATAATAAGTATAAAATATCAATTGTTCTAAAACTTAATCTGGTTCACTCACTTCATTTAGGAAAGGAAATCTGTCATCCTTACCTATGACCTTGGAATCCAAACCCATAGCAATGTGGCTGACTCTTAGCTGTCCTCCTAACTGGCTTATGAGGCCACTTCATTCATGGGCAAAAAAGCTGGCCTTGTTAGTAACACCTATGTTCCATGAAAGAATTTCTTAAAAAAAACTTGAATATTTTAATGCCCTTCACACACTCAGAATTTTCTGAAGTGCTTCACAACCAATTAATTACTTTTGAAGAGAAGTAAACATTTTTTATCATTTTGGACCATCTGACCCGAATAGTTTTCATTGTGGGAGCAAATGTCATTTTGAAATCTTGAGAACTTACTGCACTGTCAGACGTGTTGTGGTTGCACCTGGAAGACCGCTGTTTATCCAAAACTTTGATTCACATCCTCATCGCTGTTGTTGTGCTTTCTGAGCTATATTGACTCTCGCCAGTGCCTCCTTCGTTGTCTCTGTCTCTTCCTTCAGGTCTAGATCCCTCCAAGATGTCCACACTCCTTCAATTCTGCTATCTTGCATATGCCTAATTTTAAAATTTATTTTGAACCATAGAATCCAAAGCAGCGTGTAGTGCCTCTGCTCTCCCTGTTACCACTGTCAAGAAGTATCACAGTTACTCACATGTATGTGCCCTCAACAGTAATGTAAAATGCTTATTATCAGAGAATTGAAGGTGAAACTTTATTTTGAATAAAGTAAAGAGTGTGCCCTTATTATAAAAATAATAATCAAAGGTTTCATTTCTGACAAAATGATGATTGGAAATAAAGAAGACCTAGCAGGTCTAATAATTCACCAGAAGCATGAAAACCTTTGAATTCAGTTGAAACATTCTTTACCACAGTGAACCTTGAATCCATTAGTAATGAGGTGCAATAACAGTAATGGTGCACATAATTGCAGCCTTCAGAGATAAATCATATAAAATTGACTCATGAACTATCCTTTGGTGTTCTCAACGTATCCCCATTTTATTGCTGTTTCAATTATTGCACATTTAAGTGTTGGGCAGTTGATTTTCTGTGACTGAGTGAACCTATAGACAAAGTCCTTCCCCAAACCATTTTAAATATTTAGAGAGTATTTATGATATGTACCATGGTTAGCATCTTTCCTCATCACTTTAAAATACTAAAGTTGAAAATTCAGTGTAATTTGTTCTGATTATTTTGAAGTTGCTTCATACTCGTACAAATTTTGCATTGAATCAATAATCATAGCACTGCCATTTATTTGTTGATCTGTTGATTTTAATTCGGTGATTGAAGGTGCATTGTAGAAAGAAACCGTTTGGTCCACTATGTCTCCAATTCCAATCTTGCTTTTTCCCTTTCTCTTTGCAGTGATTGGGATGAGGTCCGCCAGGTGGATGTCATAGGATATGAGTTCCTTCATTGAATCTGGTTAACAGCCCCAATCAGCAAGTCCTGGTTGACAGATATAAACAGGAGTGTAGGAGTTCAGTTCACGCTCGGAGCTGGCTCTGAGTTAGCTGGGTCAGTGTTTTGTACTGTAAGTGTGTAAATAAAGGGTGACTTAGTGACGGGATACTGGCCTCCATGGAGTTATTTTAGTAGTGACGAAAGAAAAACATGCCACTGAAGAGATTCACTCACAACAGTTGTCTTTGAGTTGGATTAAGCATTTCTGGCATCATGCTGCTATTTGGGAACCTCGACTTGTTTAATCCTGCCATTGAAAACGGGGCCTGGTACGTTGGAAGAATGTTAGTTTTTCCAGGCAAATAACATGGGGGCAGATGCAAAGCAATGAGTAAGTCTTGTGACAGCTTGTGGGCCTCCAGCTTTTTCGGTTATTAGAAGCCTAACATTCCCTGAGGCACCAGATACTAAAACCTTTTAAGAGTTGACAGATTTAGCTGAGAAATACTACAACCCCAAGCCTTCTCTAATTCCGAGGTGCGATCAGTTTTATTCGTCAGTTTTAGAACTAGGGAATCCGTTTCGGGATTTTTTGATGAGGTTAAGAGAACTGGCAGAGGCATGTGATTTTGGTTTAACCCTAAATGAGATGCTGAGAGACCTTTTGGTATGTGGAATTAATGATGTGACCATGCAAAAATGCCTAGTAACTGAAGCTCAGCTGGACTCCATACAGGCAGTACAACTGGCGTTGTCATCAGAAAATGTGGTAAGTGGAGCTTATGAGTTAGAGTATTCCAACCGAAATGGACATGCTCGCCAGGCAAACTGAGCCTGGGGAACACTATTTGAGTGAAGACAATTGCATAGCCTCCCCTAAGACATATCCTGAACGAGGAGCTCCAGATCGGCCCATAGCAAAACTGTAAAACAAAGCCAAACCTCAGCCAAATGGTTAAAATTTTCTGGGGTCAGGGCCAGCAGACCCTTGTAGTTGCTGCTGGTACGCGGTGTGAGACAGCAAAAGAGTCCCAATAGGCCAGTATCCAGGTGAGTACATACCCTGGAAAGTCCATTTGTAGCTGGTCTGCTTCATCTTTGTTTTTAAATCCCTGTTTAGCCTCAACAATGACACATATTGTGCCTTTGACAGGGTTAAACCTCTCAAAGCATTTCACGGCACTGGTATAAAGAAGATTGACTGTGAAGTCAGGTGGTGACAACTGGAGTTAGGACCAAAAGATTTGTCATGGAGGTAGATTCTAACAAGCAACTATGAGATGTAGACAGGAGAGCAATAAGGAAGCAACTTAAGGCATATCTGCCAGTGCTGCAGCAGTAAGGAATTGCTCAGCAGCATCCAATTCAGAACCAATCAAAATGAACGTCTGGTTAAATGGTCACCTGGTTCTAATGGAGGTTGATAGCAGTGTGGCCATATCAGTGATTGCGGAACTAGTCTTTACTCTGTAGAACTCTGAAAATTTGCTCTCGACTCCAACCCTTATATTTGCGTACGACCTTGACTAGGCTGAGAACCTACCAGGGAAGACCTACAGATTAAGGATACAAATTTGGTTCTGGTCTCTTCTAAGAAACAGCTGGTTCAGTTACCACTGATCATAGATGAAGGCTCAGGCCCAAGCTCGA